GTCGCATATCTAACATAGCTAAATCCGCTCATGGGGATAGTTTCTTCTTCGACAGTGCGGATGCGTAAGCGTGTACACCACTTGACCATTCAATTTGTTAATTACCTCGCCTGGTATACAAAAAGTCATGGGTTCCATCGCGATCCTGACGTCTGTATGTTTGCTTGTCTCTCTCTCCCCATGGGCGTGTGGATTTTTTTCAGGGTCCTCCGGTTTTTCCCTCCACATTTAGAAACATGCGTTTAGAGTATTTGGCTGCTATACATTTCCATGTTATAAGCCATTTTATTGAGCTATCATTTGTGACCAGGTCACTTCAGCTCAGTGGGTCTTACCTGGTAATAGTTTCGTTTTGCTATGTCGGGTGGCAGAGGGTCTCGACAGCACAGATTTGGTTAATGTATCCACGAGCACGGCGGATAACGAGATTGCCACACAGTCACCCATTTACTTAACGGTTTCGATTTACATTTCACGTCCAGACGTTTCTCGTCGTGAACCAAGCAAACCCGTGCACCGATAAATGTGTTTCCGTGCTCACTGACCCACACATGGTGCGGGTGGGATTTATAGGCTTCGTCGAATAAAATAATAAACACGACGACCGATCGCAGTGTCTCACCAACTCTGAGACACAGACGCCATGTTTGTTTTCTTTGTCTTGTACTCGTAACGACAGTCTTGCAATGGCGTTTCTTGTTGTGGGTTTTTTCATGCCGTCTCAATGATTCGGCAATGAAGGAAACCAACACAACCTCAACCCTAAATGCCACATGGGCTCAATGTTTACATTCATGTCAGACTGACCACGGATGTTGCTGCACCGAGTTACAGAGTTTTCTGCAGAGAGGGCTTTGTGTGGTGGTGCCGCTGCTGCTGCCGCTGTGAATCTGAATCTTTATTTAGACTACAGCAAGAGGAATCCGATGAGCTACTAAGCTCTTCTTCACAGATGTCCTCCAGTAGGGGCAGGTGATCAGCAAGTTACAACAACAAACAATACAACAACATCGTAAGAGTGCAACATAGAGAAGAAGCTAATCAAGTAAATATAAATAAGTATTTAAAACAAAAATTGCAACACTAAATGCAAGCTTGGGCAAGGCAGCAAAATAACAACAACAGTCTCAGACTACACCAAGACAACACACAATAAAGTGGCACATTAAAATGTAACTATCAATACACGGGTAAGCATCGACGTTAAAAATCACATTTGCAAACGTGATTGTACGGTATGTTGCCACTGCTATTGCTGCTACGAAAGCTGTATGTTGAACTTCTTTTGCACCGTACGTAGCCGACCGTGCTAATCGGAGGTGCTGTTGCTGCAAATGCTGCTACTAATACTTGCTGTTGTCGCAAATGCTGCTGATACTCATGCTGGTGCTGCTGCTGCTTATTCTATTGTTGCTGTTGCAAATGCTACTTCTGCTGTTGCTGCTGCCTGTGCAGTGAAAGTTGTTAGCTGTGTCGTGTTTTCCCCTTAATTGTCGGGCCTTAAACAATTGCGGTTGGAGGTCTTGGAAAAATATTGTGGAAAATGTACAGACTTACAAGTCGTGTATTACTATGTGGGATTCTGCCATAATGCGCAGCACATTTGACTTGCCATCTAAAGGTCGCTGGTTCTATCTACCAGGACGGAAGTTGAAAATGAAGTTGCTGAAATCTCTCCGTCTCTGTCCTCCCAGCAATGTAGATGGGAACACCGCGGTTCTGTTATTGGTAGGTCCGCGTGGCAGGGGGGAAACGCGTGGGTGGTCCACCCTAGTGAGATGTTAACTCCCTCGCCTGGTATGCGGGAGGTCGTGGGTTTCGATCCCAACCCTGACGAGTGGATTTTTCTCCCGGTCCTCCATTTTTTCCCCTCCACATTTAGAATCAACATCACACGTTGAGAGTATTTGTCTGCTATACATTTGCACGCGATAAGCCACTTAGTTGAGCTGTCATTTGCGGCCAGGTTGCTTCTGAAAAAGTGCTTCATAGCTCATTGGGCCTTACATGGTAAAATGAATCAAATAGTTATCCTCTGGACAGCGTGGAAGAGTAGGCGTAATACCGTTCGGAGGGGGGGGGGGGCTCCCTAGAGCTTCCTCTCATGGGAGGCCCTTCCACCAGCAGTGGCATGAACGAGCAATTGCAGGGCCGCAACTTTATTGAAGCAGCTAGGAATCAGAATATTTATACTGGAGGATCCGATTAGCTATGAAGCTCCTTTTACAGATGTCCAGTAATGAATGAAGACGCCTTGTTAATTCGTCCACTGGACAGTCACACGAGGAATACGTGGGACACGTGGCCACGTGTATCACCAAACCATCGCCCTCAGTCCATCCCTCCAATCCCCGCCACTCCCTCGTGCCCCGCGCCTACTCAGTCACGCCCTACGAACCTCCTCGTCAATGTGCCTGGGACCAAACCCCCCGCGGGCAGACACGTGTCGCTCACAAACGCGCGGCTGTTTAGCCCCAACGAACTGTTTATTTGGTTAGCTTTGTAACTGACAGGCGCTCAAACACCCAGCAGGGAAAGCTAACACACACACACACGCGCACGTGCTACATTACACGAGCGTGCATGTTTGCGTTCCATGTAACGTGGCTTAAAAAAACCGGACCATTACAAATGTGTTTCACTTGCAAGACACCTTTGTTTTGTTAATCCAAGTGGTAGATCCTGGGGGCTGAGGGCAGGGAGGGTTGTTGATTGGCGGGCAATTGCAACAGCATCAACAACTGCAGTTCACCACGAAGTGGCGGTGACGTCAACACGGCGCTTGTACCATACTAGGTGCACTTTGAGGTCAAGTGAAGTGTCAAAAGCCCACTGGCAGGAGGTCACGGAACAGACCCAGGTGCCATGGGTTGACTGACCGAGATGGCTGGCAGATGCACCAACTGTGCCCCCTACTGTGCCAACTCTCTGCGCTTTAGCCACCCGGCGCTCAGCTCATGTTTGTGAGTGGCGCTCCTCTGTTCTCCGTTGTTGCTGGAGGGCGACTGCCTCCAACTCCCCAGCAGTGTCCTCCATGGACCTCTACAGGCAACTGCCATCACCCTGTCACACCCCTCCGCCCTCATGGAGACCCTAACAATGGCTATTCTATTGAGTTGCCATATAAAAATATATGGAATGGTTTCGTATTTTAGCGTAGGTCCCTATTTAATTAGATGGACATTTCTGGACCTCCCCGTGTTCCCCACCTCCAACCCAAGGAAGTTTTTAGATCTGGCTCTACTCAGTCAACTCGTGGTGGTGAGATGTTAACTACCTCGCTTGGTATGCAGGAGGTCGTGGGTTCGATCCCGACCCTGACGCCTGCTGCTGTATATTTGGAGTTTGTATGTTCTTCCTGTAGGCGCGTGGATTTTTCTCCGGGTACTCTGGTTTTTCCCTCGACATTTCGAATCAACATGCATTTAGACTTTAGAGTATTTGGCTGCTGTACATTTCCACATAAGCCACTTCATTGATATATCATTTGTGGCCAGGTAGTTTTTGAGAAACAGCGATATTTCTCAGTTGGCCTTACCTCGTAAAATAAATATAGTTTAGTTGAATGTTTTTAATTTAACTCTTGTACATTTCACCGAGGCTTCTGCAGATGTTTATCAAAACACGGCCCTCTCGCTGTGCGTCAGTCGCAGCTGCCGGCGTCTCATCCGGCCTTCAGAGCCCGAGAATGAAATGCAAGGCATGTCCTGTATGTACGTTGAACTTCGTTCTCACCGTATGTAACCGACCGCGCTAATCACTAAGGCGCGACTAAACCGGCGAGAGTTTTTGCGATTCCTTCAAACCAGTCCGCAATGATTCAAGACCTTTGCATAAATCCACACTGTGGCGGTTGAGATGCACAAATAAACTCTCACGCGAAGCCGGTGAGGTGCTGACATGAGTCCACTGCTTGTTGCACCTTATTCTGTTTCTTTGGACATGTGGGGGTGGGAGTTGTCCTACGCAACCTCTAGTCCCCCCTGCTGCGATCTGTATCTCGCAGTGGCAGATGTATATAGTTTATGATCATTTGGTTCCAAAATGTTCTTACTGTGGAAATCTCTAACATTCCAGATGCTTCTTCGGGTGACTTGGTAAACATGGAGCACTGGCCCAAAGCTTGGGCAAACGTTGGTCAAAAGGTTTCATCCACATGCCAACGTTGGACTAATGTTGGCATATTTACTCGGGAGGTGCAGGTATTATCGCTTGTGTGCATATTCGCACCATGATCTTACCGTATTTGTCGTTTGGCACCTCTGAGCGCAATACTTGTGTTTATTGATTCATCGTACTTTTTGAGTTAAGCAACATGATTTGACCACTTCTGTCATAAAACCGTCCATCACCCAACATAGCCAAACAAATTAAATTGTCAAGTACAACTTACTATTGTTTTAGTTTGGATTCTGGCAGAAGATGCTTCACGCAGTTTCAAGTGAAACATTATCTCATTACCAAATTTGTTTGTGAGAATCGCTCAACTTGCCAAAGAGACTCAAGACACACGTCAGCAACAGTATCAAAGAAATATAGAACAGGTGCCGTTTCTGTCAATGGCCCTTTATCATAACACACAGTGGCCAGAGAGAGAGAGAGAGGATAATGAGTTGGAGATTCCAATTAACGCCATGGGGCCTGATGAGAATTAATAATAATAAAAAATAGCTTAGCGGTGGGTGAGCTATAACATTAACTTGTCGGTACGTTGCTGAACACTTTGTACACCACGTGAGTGTGGCATTCGAGTTGGTTATCTCAGGTGGTGGGGGGGTTTCACAACAACAAAACATTTGGCCACATCATTCCGTATGTGGCCTAACCAAATACAAATATAATTATGAATCCAAATATTGCCTGGGAAAACCGACTGTGCGTTCAGCTTCTGTTGTTTTTGGTGATTTTGGCAGCTGATTTAACATCACCTCTGAATGTGTTGCTTTGCACCATTCCAGTCTGAAAATGTCACAAATTTGAAAGAAACATTAACACCAACAGAGTCGAAAAAGCATTTTAATAAATAAATGCAATCATAATTATAGAAACGCTGCATTATATTGTCAACAATAGCAAATACGGCAATTCAAATAACTAAACTTGGGAATATTTGTGAAGCTTGTAATATATACCGTATATTTGAAAATAATTATAGATTAGCTTCTATGTACATTATCTACAATAATATACCAACAAAATCACGCGAGGCAGTCTTTACACTAAGTATTTAACATTACAGTAGGAACCTCTTGAGAAGTACAAAAGGCAACGATATAGGCTGACGTCTCTTAAAGGTAACAAGTCATAGCAGCTTGATGCCAATGGTTTACAAAAAGGTGCCGACTGAAAAAAAATACCATGATGACAAAAAAAACACGAAATAAAATAAACATCACATGACGATTAATACCTCTTCTCCACCGGCATAACCGGGCCGAGCCAGCACAACATGGGTGGATTTTCCACTCGATATTTGCCATGCCAAGCCGTAGCAAAATCGTGATATGCTGGCCTAATAGGAAGGTATTCTTTGAGTCTTTTGGTAAAGTGAGTAGATGGCTCAAAGAAAATTACAAAAAACTACGACGTTTCGATCACAACACAAGCAATCGTCATCAAGATTTAATAGGAAGGTGTTTGAGTCTAGCTTGGGGCCAAGCAGGGCCAGAGGCGTAGATAATGAAGCATTCATTTCACGTGACATCAGTCAGTGCACTGTGAGGACGCGCAGTCACTGCGTCACCGACAGGAAACTCAACTGCTCTAACTATTTTTTATTTTACCAGGTGTAAGGCCCACTGAGCTATATCGCTCTGTTTCAGAAGCGACCTGGCCACAAATGATAGCTCAATTAAGTCACTTGTCACGTGGAAATGTATTGCAGCAAAGCACTCTTAAGCACACGTTGATTCTAAATGTGGAGGAAACAACTAGAGAACCCAGAGAAAAATCCACGCGACTACGGGGAGAGAGCGACACGCAAACTCCAAATATACAGCAGGTGCCAAGAGTCGGGATCAAACCGACGACCTCCTGTATACCAGGTGAGGAAGTTAACGTCTCGCCATCTCGCATCTCAACTCATCCATTCCATGTGATGTCAGTTGCACGGCTCGGCTTCTGTAGTGGAAAAACAACGCTGGCGCTGCCTTGAACCGCGTCAGGCACGGCCCCAGCGCGATGCGGGTTTGTGCCAGTGGTACATGGCATCAGTGTATAAATCTGCTGGGTTGTTTTGCTCACGCACATATATGTAGTTTTTTTATGTTTCTTTACGCCACTACGAAATCATTGGATATGCACTCGGGGGGGGGGGGGGTGGGGGGTGAGAAAACAGAACGCGCGTCGTACGGGAGGACTGCACGGCAGCATCCCCTGGGGGCTCGGCTAGAGGAGCGGTAAACAGTTCGGACTCGAGCGCTCGCTAGCAGAGCTCGTTCAACGTTTCCGGGTCCTCTCCAAGAAGCCAGTAGGTGGTCATCTTCCCCTTCCCCTGCAGACAAAGCGAGACGCAAGGGTAGGCAATTTTTACGGCGTTTAGGGCGTGCGCCTAAAACGCGTCCATAGAAGGCAGTTGGGCGTGCTTATTTCATTAGGGAGAAATAGGCAGGAAGTTATCGGAAAACGAGTAAAGTCTGGAGACTGGACTTACAACTGGAGCCTGGACCTTCAGAGAGAGAGAGACCCAGAGACTCGCATACACGTACGTGATCGACACATAGACTTACACAGAGACTTGTATCTTATCAACGGAGAGACCGGTATCCTGCTTTTAAGCCAGTAGTCCCATCATTACATCTGGTTGGCTGTTCGGATTTTCTTTCTCCACGTGCTTCTATTTATAAGTGCCGCATCTCTAGTCACATAAACTAAAAACTAAACTATTTTTTATTTTACCAGGTAAGGCCCACTGAGCTATGTAGCTCTTTTTCAGAAGCGACCTGGCCACAAATGATCGCTCAATTAAGTCACTTATCACGTGAAAATGTATTGCAGCCAAATACTCTAAACCCGTGTTGATTCTAAATGTGGAGGGAAAATCCGGAGGACCCGGAGAATAATCCATGTGACCACAGGGAGAATATGAAAATTCCAAATATACAGGCGTCAGGCTCGGGATCGAACCTCCGACCTCCTGCATACCTGGTGAGGGAGTTAACATCTCACTACCCTTTCACAGCGTGAAGTTGTAAAACGAGCGGCACGCGATAAGAAATGTTTGGAGCCCTTATCTGAGTGAGTGTGCACTCACGCCGTGCACCATGGAATTGAAAGAAACATTTATTTTTTTAATCGCGCTGATTGACTATCACGGGCGGCATCACGGACATGCTCGAGCGATTGCATCGCGAGTAATTTGACGACGCACTGCTAATGGCCCTGCTAATGCAGGTTACGGGATTATTTAACGTTAACCTCCTGCCACCTCAATCTGAAGCGTTGCTTCACAGCAGAATGAGATGCTATCAAATGTCAGCTGTTCCACTCGAGTGATTAAATCAATACCTACTGGGTAGTTTTCCACGAGAAGCCTGTTTTGCTGTATGTGCCACGAGCTCGCTACGACTTTACCGGACTCGGCTACATTTCCTGCACTTTATTCAGGCTCAGATGTCTAGCGCCTCCGAGCTGGACAAACTGAGATGGCGGGTAGCACTCCGTTAACGATTGAGCTTACATCGGGTTTCGCAAGCTCAGCATGGTGAAGTATGGCCAAGTTTCAGACACAAATTTCAAGTTGATTTTGTTTACCAAGCTGAGAACTCAGCAGCCCAGGATAAGAATCTCATTTGCACAGTGACCTGAGTCATCACAACGACAAAAGCTTGAACGTAAAATAAAAGGACGGCAATGGCGTTAACAGGACACCGTTAAAATACTACACGGACATAAAGATATAGGAAGTGAACTAAATGTGTCGAAAGGAAACTTGCCTCCAACACAAAAACGATGTGAGTAAATAAATAAATAATCGCCCCAACGCTGCACCCCCTCTCCATTCCCCTCCCCCGGACCCTGCACAGTGAGAGGACTCGCTTACCCAGCAGCCAGCAGTGAAGCCACAAAAGCAGTTGAGGTCTGAACATCGTGGGGCCATGTTGGTGACACGGCGATGGTTGACCTCACCTTCATTTCCACGTCGCCTCGTAATTCCAGCTGGAAGGACCCCAACTCATCGAGCACCTCTTTTGTTGCAAGTGACACGTGTATCTTCAGGGCTGAAATGGAAATCAAACAAAAAAACACAACAAATGGGCAAAGCAAGGCATGTGGTTACAATTGGTGGGGCTGGTCAGACCCTGAAAAATCGTGTTTTATTGATAATTACCGGGAAAATATACACTGAGTGTTTCTTGTAAGAATAATGAAAGTGTGACTCCCCTCCCCCTCTTCCCATTCCTTCCCCTCCCCTGCAAATACACTACTCCCGATCGTCATCCCTACGATGGTAGGCTGTGAGCCCAAGTGCCTCCAGCAGGTCCCCTCTTTGAGGTTATGGGGTGAAGGTCATGGGGACGGGTGGGTGAAGGTCATGGGGATGGGTAGGTGAAGGTTATCTATTTGTAAATTATTTCTCACGTCCGGCACGGTGATGTTGACGGTGCGGACCTGGTGACCGGGTGAGCAAGCGGGCGAGTGTACGAGAGAACGAGTGTGCGAGCGAGTGAGCGAGTGTGCGAGCGAGCGGGCAAGCGTGCGAGCGGGCGAGTGTGCGGGCGAGCGGGCGAGTGTGCGGGCGAGCGGGCGAGTGTGCAGGCATGCGAATGGGTGAGCTTGTGGGTGGGCGAGGGAGGGCCTCGTCCTTCTCACCTTGGCTGTTGGACTCCATGCGTGAGGCCGTGTTGACGGTGTCACCGAAGAGGCAGTACCTCGGCATCTTGAGGCCCACTACCCCAGCGCACACCGGCCCTGTAGCCACACGTGACGCAACACAGACGTCACGTGCTCGATAATGATGATGATTAGAATTTTTTATTACTAATAATATTGTTCACCCTGGAAAGCCTCGCCGAGTCTCAAGACACTTTTTCAAGAGGTCCTGCCAAGTTTCCCGATTGCGTATGTACGACCGTGCTAATCGGAGGTGTGGATCTTGGCGTGGTACCCGTGTGGATGCCGATGCGGAGCTTGAGCTGGTCATCGGGGCAGTGGCGGATCCGGAACGAGCGCACGGCGTCGAGCAGCGCGAGCGACATGCGAGCGATCTCACGCGCGTGCTGCTTGCCGTTCCGCACGGGCAGCCCTGACACCACCATGTACGCGTCGCCAATCGTCTCCACCTGCCACCACCACCAACACCACCGCGATCGTCACAACTGTCACCACCACCACCGCCATCGTCACCACCACCACCATCACCGCCGCCACCCTTACCATCACATTAAAGCCACCACTGCTATCACCGTAAACCTCCACTACTATCACCGTCACCACCACTGCCGCCATCATCACCATCACCACCACCACCACCGCCGTCACCACCACCATCACTGCTACCACCACCACCATCATATCACGGCCACCACTACTATCACCGTCACCACCACTGCCGCAATCATCAACATCACCACCACCACCACCGCGATTTCCACCACCACCATCACCGCTACCACCACCACCATCACATCACGGCCACCACTACTATCACTGTCACCACCGCTACCGTCATCGTCACCACACCCGCCACCATCACCTTCACCGCCACCACTACCATCAATCATGTGCTCCCACTCTGTGCCACGCACATTGGTTAGTGATCAACTAGCGAGGCAGGTGATAGTGGGGTTTGAGTGCTGTTGAAAACCCTGAACTTATGAAAAGGAAAGCAACGTACTGAAGTGCAACCCTTCGTCTTGCCCCCTCCTCTCTCACTCCCCCCCCCACTTTCACCGACGATATCAAAGTGATGACTCAAAGGGGAGGGACAAAGAAGATTGCAATGCTTTAACGACGGCAACAAAAACCCTGAGCTTAACAGTGCAAAGGAGCAAGATGGTGCCGTAATAATTAAACCGACTGAACCACATCAGCAGGCAGTGGCATGAGAGTGCGATCCAAAACATGTTTACTGCCTTCACAATCATCAGTGGCTGCATTGAAAAATGAAAAATATGACTGTGTAGGAATCATACTGTGTGGAGGTGGAGTGGTGTTGTGGCGGTTGGTGCATTATGCTGCAAACCCGGTGGCCTGAACTTGATTCCCGGCCACAGGTAATAAAAGCCTCCTGATGCCCCCCACCCCACCTTCATCAGCTCACACTGACCATAGTGTTGAAGTACGGCCAAGACCAACACGGCATGGGGTATTCATCCAGCAGTGGATTGACAAATGGCAGCAAATTCGTACATATTGTTAAACTTCAAAGGTATTCCTCACCTTATAGACGTCGAAATTGTCGATGATAGCATCGAAGCAGGTGTACAAGTCGTTGAGTAATGTCACCACCTGCGGTCACACACACCCGGGCGCATTGTTCACGCGATTAACACCGCCGCCCGGTGAGGATTTGGAACCAAACTCCTCAGCGGGTTCCCACTGTCGGCAACTCACTATCGCCAGGCATCCATGCTGTGGACTTCCTGCTTCGGGTTCCCACCTCGGAGGTACGAAAGAAAACGCACTCGAGTGGCCGTCACTACATAAAAGTGGGATAGAGGGAGCAAAACAAGAGAAAGAAATGGAGGGAGGGGAGCTGCCAGCTCACCACCATGTGTCCTGGTTGAGCCTCCCAGGAATTTGGTATATTTAGGCAGCAAGTTCAACCTCAGGTGCTGTAATTACAGGTGAAACTAGCATGTATTGAATTAAAATGCAGTCAGGGAGCGGAGGCGATGCTTAATGTACCAGTGAGTGTTGCTGTGCTGTCGCCAGACCTGTCCTCCCAGGGGGTTATACGTGGATTTCTGTTGGCGGTAAAATCTGAAGCGGTGCTCCCTGCCTGCCTGACTATGGGCCAACTACAATGTTCCTGGTGAAGGCAGCAGGAGGGTGAAGGCAACAGGAGGGTGGAGGCAGCAGGAGGCAGCAGGAGGGTGAAGGCAACAGGAGGGTGGAGGCAGCAGGAGGCAGCAGGAGGGTGAAGGCAGCAGGAGGGTGAAGGCAGCAGGAGGGTGGAGGCAGCAGGAGGGTGAAGGCAGCTGCAGGCAGCAGGAAGGTGGAGGCAACAGGAGGGTGAAGGCAGCAGGAGGGTGGAGGCAGCAGGAGGGTGAAGGCAGCAGGAGGGTGGAGGCAGCAGGAGGGTGGAGGCAGCAGGAGGGTGGAGGCAGCAGGAGGGTGGAGGCAGCAGGAGGGTGGAGGCAGCAGGAGGGTGAAGGCAGCAGGAGGGTGAAGGCAGCAGGAGGGTGGAGGCAGCAGGAGGGTGGAGGCAGCAGGAGGGTGAAGGCAGCTGCAGGCAGCAGGAAGGTGGAGGCAGCAGGAGGGTGAAGGCAGCAGGAGGGTGGAGGCAGCAGGAGGGTGAAGGCAGCAGGAGGGTGGAGGCAGCTGCAGGCAGCAGGAAGGTGGAGGCAACAGGAGGGTGGAGGCAGCAGGAGGGTGGAGGCAGCAGGAGGGTGGAGGCAGCAGGAGGGTGGAGGCAGCAGGAGGGTGGAGGCAGCTGGAGGCAGCAGGAAGGTGGAGGCAGCAGGAAGGTGGAGGCAGCAGGAGGGCGGAGGCAGCAGGAGGGTGGAGGCAGCCGGAGCGTGGAGGCAGCTGGAGGCAGCAGGAAGGTGGAGGCAGCAGGAGGGTGGAGGCAGCAGGAGGGTGAAGGCAACAGGAGGGTGGAGGCAGCAGGAGGCTGAAGGCAGCAGGAGGGTGGAGGCAGCAGGAGGCAGCAGGAGGGTGGAGGCAGCAGGAGGGTGGAGGCAGCAGGAGGGTGGAGGCAGCAGGAGGGTGAAGGCAGCAGGAGGGTGGAGGCAGCAGGAGGATGAAGGCAGCAGGAGGGTGAAGGCAGCACGAGGGTGGAGGCAGCAGGAGGGTGAAGGCAGCAGGAGGGTGGAGGCAGCAGGAGAGTGGAGGCAGCAGGAGGGTGGAGGCAGAAGGAGGGTGGAGGCAGCAGGAGGGTGGAGGCAGCAGGAGGGTGGAGGCAGCAGGAGGGTGGAGGCAGCAGGAGGGTGGAGGCAGCAGGAGGGTGGAGGCAGCTGGAGGCAGCAGGAAGGTGGAGGCAGCAGAAGGGTGGAGGCAGCAGGAGGGTGGAGGCAGCAGGAGGGTGGAGGCAGCAGGAGGGTGGAGGCAGCAGGAGGGTGAAGGCAGCAGGAGGGTGGAGGCAGCAGAAGGGTGGAGGCAGCAGGAGGGTGAAGGCAGCAGGATGGTGAAGGCAGCAGGAGGGTGGAGGCAGCAGGAGGGTGGAGGCAGCAGGAGGCAGCAGGAGGGTGGAGGCAGCAGGAGGGTGGAGGCAGCAGGAGGGTGGAGGCAGCTGGAGGCAGCAGGAGGTTGGAGGCAGCTGGAGGCAGCAGGAGGGTGGAGGCAGCAGGAGGCAGCAGGAGGGTGGAGGCAGCAGGAGGGTGCAGGCAGCAGGAGGGTGGAGGCAGCAGGAGGGTGGAGGCAGCTGGAGGCAGCAGGAGGGTGGAGGCAGCAGGAGGGTGGAGGCAGCTGGAGGCAGCAGGAGGGTGAAGGCAGCAGGAGGGTGGAGGCAGCAGAAGGGTGGAGGTCTCGCCTGCATGGGCGTGCTGGCGGCCGAGATGGCTGTGAAGCCCACGATGTCGCTGAAGTAGATGGTGACGCTGTCGAAGGCCTCGGCCGCAACCATCTCCCCGCGCTTCAGCTGCTCGGCGACGGGACTGGAAAAAGGGGGATGAGAAATAAAACGGGGAGGCCCAGAACCCATTCAAATATTTTGCCAATGATGTTATCCATGGCTGGGAACTCAGGTCGCCAGGTTCGTAGCAGTGTACGGTAAACCGTTGCACCATCTCTTTCCACATACAAATCAAAAGCAATATATTCCTACATGCAAGATTTCACGCAGTCTTCAGTTTAAGTATGAGACAGACAAGGCCAAGGCGAGAGTCAAAGCCTGAAAGATCTTGAGATTGAGGCCAGTGTCAAGGCCGAATCTTCTAGAACATGTGGTCTGCAAACCACCGGTGGTCTGCAAGGCTGTGGGAAGCAGTCTACAAAAACATTGCAGATACTGAGATTTAGTCGTTTTCATTTTTAAAAATTTGCTTTTTGGTGGATGGCAGTTTCATGAAACCATGTTGGTGGTTGACAGTGGTGTAGGGGCCCAGAAATGTTATAAAACACTGCTCAAGACTGAGGCCAGTGTCAAGTCCAGTCAAGGCCAGATCCTTTTGACTGAGGCCAGTATAAAGGCCGGTCAAGTCTAGGTTCTCTACACTGAGGCCAGTGTGAAGACTAGTGCCTCTAAGACTAGTCATTGCATTGAGGTCACATACCTGAGGCCAAGGTCAAGAACGAGAGTCAGGAAAATGTCCCCGAGCCGGCCTCGAGGACTGGTCTCGAGAACCCGAGGCTGACTGGATGCCCTGTCATGAGCGTAACGGTGGCTTAGACCGGTTTTAATTGATGCGTTGGAAGCGCGCTCACTGGGGCAGGATCTGGTAGAGCAGGGCTTCGGCCTTGCGTTTTTCCTCCAGGTAGGCCTGTGTCCGTTCCTCCACGAGCCCTTCCAGGTTGTTGGCGTACTGCTCCATCCTGGACAGCAGGTTGTCCAATATGTTGCTGCTGCGCTCTCTGTGGGCAAAGCACAACAGTTTTTGTAGAAAAAATAATTGCCATAATCTCTGGATTAGAAGATGCTCGGTGCACTGTAAGACACACCCCAAAACTTGTGCCCGGGTATCAATGCAGTGAAACAAATCTGGTATCACACACATGCACATAGCTACCAGATTATAAGACGCACCCCAAAATTAGCTTGGAAATACAGAGAATATGGTAAAAGCAACGCAATTTAACAAGGATAATATTTTATATTCACACCATTCTCATAGCGCAGGGCGGTCACCACGAAAGAAGGCGTCGTGTTTCAGACACAGGCTGCTGCTGAGGTAGAGTCACGGCAAGGAGCGATGTCGCTGTGCGTGACCCCAAATTGAATAATAAGCAGTGTCATTTTTTTTTTATCTGGCAAGTTGGGACCTTGACAATTTTCTATTTGCTTCGAGTGACGTTGGAGGATCTCAGAGGATCTCTGATGGCCACTTTGAATCAGATGGCATGTATTTTATGGTTGACACACCCAGAATAATAACCCCATGTTTGTTAATGTTATTCCTCGATCAGAGATCTTGCCGCGGCAAGATGGACTGTCCTATGCCAGAGGGCTCTGTCCTCGGTAGATCTTGAGAATTGTCCCATACTCAGCCCTGTCCAAGTAACAACAGTGTCGTCAATCCAGGTTCAGGCCTCACAACCTACAATTAGGGTTTATGGATCATCTAAAAGCAACCACATCTCAAGACACTATACATATGAGAGGGAATATCTGCGACTGCTGAAAACGTTTTTTTTAACTCAACTAGTTTTATTTGACCAGTTAAGGCCCACTGAGCTACTATATAGCTAATTTTCAGAAGAGACCTGGTCACAAATGATAACTCAACGAAGTGGCTTCTCATGTGGAAATTTAAAGCAGCCAAATACTCTAAAAGGATGTTTTTAAAATGTGGAGGGAAAAACTGGAGAACCCGGAGAAAAAATCCACGCGACCACAGGAAAGCATGCAAGCTCCAGATATACAGCAGGCGTCAGGGTCGGGATCGAATGCATGACCTCCTGCATACCAGGCGAGGTCGTTAACATCTCACCACCTTGGCAAGATGTTACAGGCAGCAGAGGCCGGTCCAGTAACATCCATGTTTGTACTGTACTTGTGCTCCCAAACGTATGCTCTCCCTGAACTTCACCAACTTGGCACTGACCAGAGTGGTGAAGTACGGTAAAACTACATCACCAACACATTTGTTGGGAGGCCCTCATCCAGCAATGGATTGACTAAAAGCGCTGCGCGTGTTTGTCTAGAGAGTTTGAAGAAATATTTAATACCAGGAAATTATGGGTAGAATTCTACAGGCCCGAGAAGAAACTGAGGCAGCACTGGTAGAAGGAGGCCTGTCGAAACTCATTTTCCCTCCTCCACACAGGACATTGATGTGGACCCCCAAATCAATGTCCATCTTCCCTATCGCCATATTGAGCGTGTGTAAATTAGTATTGTTATTCACTATCCCTCATGTAAATTTGCTCTATGCTCGTATCTGGCTTGTGTTCATCAGTTACACAAATGAATTTTTATTTAAATTTCAGGCAAAATTGATCCTCCTGACTGAGTCCAGTGGCAGGGCCACTCAAGACCAGATTTACACTCGGGGCCACATGGCGTTACTTACACCGACGCTAGCTATATTTACTCTCCAGTTGATCGTGAAATTAAATAAAACATCTTACAATTGGTGCAGTTGTACTAGTGGCAGGTGGATGCAAGGTGGGAGAGGGGGCGGTGGAGGGGACATAACCCCCCTCCGCCACACCCCATCCCCTTTGTTGAGACACAAAAAAGTGGTGTTTTTATTGATATTTACCAAAAAAAATGCATTGTCTTTGTTCATTATAATTAATTCTGCTACTCTCAATCGTTCCCCCGTGTGTTGTAGGGCAGTGAGCCCAAGTACCTCCCAGATGCCCCCCCCCCCCCCCCATTTGAGGGTGTATCGTTCTGGGTTTGGAACATGTTCGTGATTTGTAGCTTCCTCTGTGATGTTTGGGTTCTTGAAAATATATATATAATGAATCCAGGGCCCTATTTAATTAAAAAGCTTCAAATTTCGGGATCCCCCCCCCACCCCGCCGCTTCCCACCCCCTTTGGGAAGGTTCTAGATCCGCCACCTGTGAGTGGTTGTACCTCCTGTGCCCCTCCTATCTTCTGGGTAGGAGGAGCACGTAGGGAGGAGACACTTGATGGATATACCGCTCATCTTGGGAACGCAGACCAAGCTGCCATGGGAGGTCCGAGGGACGTCCTCCCACCAACTGCTCAAGTCGCGCGCGGGCCCTGCACTTCTATTTTTGGCCTCTCTTACAGCCGAGCGAGACACTGCAGCTCTGAGCGGCAACTGCCGCTGAGGAATGGCGTTTTTTGTTTACAATTTTTTTTTACTTTATTATATTTAATGACTAACAATCGAAATATATTAAGGACATCATAGTTCATAATGTTCCTTTCCATATTCGGAAGCGACTGGAGCTATGCACCTTTAAATCTAGATTAAAAACACATTTTTTAATAACTGCTTTTTGTGTTTAGTTTGTTGTCCTACCCCCACACCTCTGATTAGCACGTTTGGCGACGTACGTGCGAAATAAGTTCAACATATATACATATGTGGTGGTCATGCCGGGACACGCGCGCGTCAAGCCACAGTGCTTACCATTGCGAGGTGGTGGGTCAGCCTCCCCTAGGTCCAGCTAGCCGGAGGGCCATGGGAGCAGTTAGCCCGGTGGCTAGGGTACGTGAGCCCGGAGACTGCACCTCCCTAGGTCGTGGGTAGGCCTCGGCAAGGTAAGGTAAATTACCCTTTTTACCGGGTAAAAGGGTAAAGGTGTCGACATGCCAAGGGGTAAGGTAAAGGGTAGGGTAAAGGTAGCTCGGAAGAATAACCCGGTAGGGTAAAGGTAGCGCAAAGTATTACCCGGTAAATACGGTACCTTGTTTACTGCTAAAAGCTCCGTGGCGCAGTCCGTGGCCTCCATTTAATAAGTAATATTTTAAAAAGTTTTTTAAAAACATGCTTTTATTAAATGTACTAGTTATGGAAGAACTCCACGACTCCAGGAAGTGGCCCCGAAGCTTGCCATAACGTAAGGGACCGTGGCCAATTACAGCCAACGTCAGTTGAGCGTGGACAATTAGAGCCAAGCCGAAACATAACATAAAAATAATGTTTAAAAATATATATTTTTTGATAGAATATAGTATTGTCATCAGTATGACATAAGTATACCAAGTTTGCAGTCGATACCACATTGGGAAGTGGGTTAAAATTGAGTTACAAGATTTGAGCATACGACAACGACGATGACAACAACGACAACAATGACAACGACAACAAGCGTGTAAATTTGGAATCATTGAGAGTATTCTATATGAATAAAGCGCTCTACCTAGCATTTACCGTTATAAACCTTGTTCATGTGTAGTAGTTCCCTAGTAATTACCCTGTAATAGGGTAATTTGTATGGGGTAAGGTAAAAAGGTAGGGTAAAGGTAGGCTCGTTGTTTTTACCTTTTAACTTTTACCTTACCTTGCCGAGGCCTAGTCGTGGGTGGGAGGGGCCGTTACCCCTCCGTGTCAGGGACCTCGTCGTTGTGTTGCTGTGATGATTCTAAATAAAACGTGTTGCCTCCTACGACGACTCTGTCTCCAGACGAGACGACTACACGGACATTATACGTAACGTGCAGAGTATCAAAGCTTATCGAGCTCACAACACGGGTGCGTCGACTACTACAGGACCGCTCCACAACCGTGCAAAATTAGGACATTGTCATTCTCATTCAGGGGTGCCACCGTGGCGAGATGTTAACTCCCTCGTCTGGTATGCAGCAGATTGTGGGTTCAATCCCAACCCTGACCTTTGTATATTTGGAGTTTGCATGTTCTCCCTGTGGTTCCGTGGATTTTTCTCTTGGTCCTTTGGTTTCCCCTCCCTATTTTAGAATCAACGTGCATTTAGATTGAGCTGCTATAAATCCCCATGTGATAAGCAACTTCGTTGAACTATAATTTTGTGGCCAGGTCACTTCTGAAAAATAGCTATAAAGCTTAATGGGCCTTACCTGGTGAAAAAAATATATTTTCATAGTTGAGTTATTATTATAGACTCAACTCTGCACCAAAGACGAAGGACTGCCATAGATTCAGCACTGCCCATAGACTCAACACTGCCAATAGACGCAACACTGCCCATAGACTCAACACTGCCCATAGACTCAACACTGTCCATAGACTCAACACTGCCCATAGACTCAGCACTGCCCATAGACCAAAACACTGCCCATAGACTCAACACTGCCCATAGACTCAACACTGCCCATAGACCCAACACTGCCCATAGACTCAACACTGCCCATAGACCCAACACTGCCCATAGACTCAACACTGCCCATAGACCCAACACTGCCCATAGACTCAACACTGCCCATAGACCCAACACTGCCCATAGACTCAACACTGCCCATAGACCCAACACTGCCCATAGACTCAACACTGCCCATAGACTCAACACTGTCCATAGACTCAACACTGCCCATAGACTCAGCACTGCCCATAGACCAAGACACTGCCCATAGACCCAACACTGCCCATAGACTCAACACTGCCCATAGACTCAACACTACCCATAGACTCAACACTGCCCATAGACTCAGCACTGCCCATAGACTTAACACTGCCCCATAGACTCAACACTGCCCATAGACTAACACTGCCCATAGACTCAGCACTGCCCATAGACTCAGCACTGCCCATAGACTCAACACTGCCCATAGACTCAGCATAGACTCAGCACTGCCCATAGACCTCAGCACTGCCCATAGACTCAACACTGCCCATAGACTCAACACTGCCCATAGACTCAACACTGCCCATAGACCCAACACTGCCCATAGACTCAACACTGCCCATAGACCCAACACTGCCCATAGACTCAACACTGCCCATAGACCCAACACTGCCCATAGACCAAAACACTGCCCATAGACTCAACACTGCCCATAGACTCAACACTGTCCATAGACTCAACACTGCCCATAGACTCAGCACTGCCCATAGACCAAAACACTGCCCATAGACTCAACACTGCCCATAGACTCAACACTGCCCATAGACCCAACACTGCCCATAGACTCAACACTGCCCATAGACCCACACTGGCCCATAGACTCAACACTGCCCATAGACCCCACACTGCCCATAGACTCAACCACTTGCCCATAGACCCAACACTGCCCATAGACTCAACCACTGCCCATAGACCCACACTGCCCATAGACTCACACTGCCCATAGACTCAACACTGTCCATAGACTCACACTGCCCATAGACTCAGCACTGCCCATAGACTCAGACACTGCCCATAGACTCAACACTGCACCATATACTCAACACTGCCCATAGACTCAACACTGCCCATAGACTCAACCTGCCCATAGACTCAAGCACTGCCCATAGACTCAACACTGCCATAGACTCAACACTGCCCATAGACTCAAGCACTGCCCATAGACTCAACACTGCCCATAGACTCAGCACTGCCCATAGACTCAACACTGCCCATAGACTCAACACTGCCCATAGACTCAGCAACTGCCCATAGACTCAAGCACTGCCCATAGACTCAACACTGCCCATAGACTCAACACTGCCCATAGACTCAACACTGCCCATAGACTCCAACACTGCCCATAGACTCAAGCACTGCCCATAGACTCAACACTGCCCATAGACTCAACACTGCCCATAGACCCAACACTGCCCATAGACCCAACACTGCCCATAGACTCAACACTGCCCATAGACCCAACACTGCCCATAGACCTCAACACTGCCCATAGACCCAACACTGCCCATAGACTCAACACTGCCCATAGACTCACACTGCCCATAGACTCAACACTGCCCATAGACTCAACACTGCCATAGACTCAACACTGCCCATAGACTCAACACTGCCCATAGACTCAACACTGCCCATAGACTCAGCACTGCCCATAGACTCAACACTGCCCATAGACTCAACACTGCACCATAAAATCAACACTGCCCATAGACTCAACACTGCCCATAGACTCAACACTGCCCATAGACTCAACACTGCCCATAGACTCAACACTGCCCATAGACTCAGCACTGCCCATAGACCAACACTGCCCATAGACTCAACACTGCCCATAGACTCAACACTGCCCATAGACTCAACACTACCCATAGACTCAACACTGCCCATAGACTCAGCACTGCCCATAGACAACACTGCCCATAGACTCAACACTGCCCATAGACTCACACTGCCCATAGACTCAACACTGCCCATAGACTCCACTGCCCATAGACTCAGCACTGCCCATAGACTCAACACTGCCCATAGACTCAACACTGCCCATAGACTCAACACTGCCCATAGACTCAACACTGCCCATAGACTCAACACTGCCCATAGACTCAACACTGCCCATAGACTCAACACTGCCCATAGACTCACACTGCCCATAGACTCAACACTGCCCATAGACTCAACACTGCCCATAGACTCAACACTGCCCATAGACTCAACACTGCCCATAGACTCAACACTGCCCATAGACTCAACACTGCCCATAGACTCAACACTGCCCATAGACTCAACTGCCCATAGACTCAACACTGCCCATAGACTCAACACTGCCCATAGACTCAACACTGCCCATAGACTCAACACTGCCCATAGACTCAACACTGCCCATAGACTCAACACTGCCCATAGACTCAACACTGCCCATAGACTCAACACTGCCCATAGACTCACACTGCCCATAGACTCAACACTGCCCATAGACTCACACTGCCCATAGACTCAACACTGCCCATAGACTCAACACTGCCCATAGACTCAACACTGCCCATAGACTCAACACTGCCCATAGACTCACACTGCCCATAGACTCAACACTGCCCATAGACTCAACACTGCCCATAGACTCAACACTGCCCATAGACTCACACTGCCCATAGACTCACACTGCCCATAGACTCAACACTGCCCATAGACTCAACACTGCCCATAGACTCAACTGCCCATAGACTCAACTGCCCATAGACTCAACACTGCCCATAGACTCACACTGCCCATAGACTCAACACTGCCCATAGACTCAACACTGCCCATAGACTCACACTGCCCATAGACTCAACACTGCCCATAGACTCAACACTGCCCATAGACTAACACTGCCCATAGACTCACACTGCCCATAGACTCACACTGCCCATACTCAACACTGCCCATAGACTCAACACTGCCCATAGACTCAACACTGCCCATAGACTCAACACTGCCCATAGACTCAACACTGCCCATAGACTCAACACTGCCCATAGACTCAACACTGCCCATAGACTCAACACTGCCCATAGACTCAACACTGCCCATAGACTCAACACTGCCCATAGACTCAACACTGCCCATAGACCAACACTGCCCATAGACTCAACACTGCCCATAGACTCAACCTGCCCATAGACTCAACACTGCCCATAGACTCAACACTGCCCATAGACTCAACACTGCCCATAGACTCAACACTGCCCATAGACTCAACACTGCCCATAGACTCAACACTGCCCATAGACTCAGCTGCCCATAGACTCACACTGCCCATAGACTCAACACTGCCCATAGACTCAACACTGCCCATAGACTCAACACTGCCCATAGACTCAACACTGCCCATAGACTCAACACTGCCCATAGACTCAACTGCCCATAGACTCACACTGCCCATAGACTCAACACTGCCCATAGACTCACACTGCCCATAGACTCAACACTGCCCATAGACTCAACACTGCCCATAGACTCAACACTGCCCATAGACTCAACACTGCCCATAGACTCAACACTGCCCATAGACTCAACACTGCCCATAGACTCAACACTGCCCATAGACTCAACACTGCCCATAGACTCACACTGCCCATAGACTCACACTGCCCATAGACTCAACACTGCACCATAGACTCAACACTGCCCATAGACTCAACACTGCCCATAGACTCAACACTGCCCATAGACTCAACACTGCCCATAGACTCAACACTGCCCATAGACTCAACACTGCCCATAGACTCAACACTGCCCATAGACTCAACACTGCCCATAGACTCAACACTGCCCATAGACTCAACACTGCCCATAGACTCAACACTGCCCATAGACTCAACACTGCCCATAGACTCAACACTGCCCATAGACTCAACACTGCCCATAGACTCAACACTGCCCATAGACTCCACTGCCCATAGACTCAACACTGCCCATAGACTCAACACTGCCCATAGACTCAACACTGCCCATAGACTCAAGTACTGCCCATAGACTCAGCACTGCCCATAGACTCAACACTGCCCATAGACTCAGCACTGCCCATAGACTCAACACTGCCCATAGACTCAACACTGCCCATAGACTCAGCACTACCCATAGACTCAGCACTGCCCATAGAGTGTGGCGACGCTAAACTCGGGCACGCACTTGTTAAACTTCCTCAGCAGGATCTTGACGTAGCCAAAGTCTGGCCTCTCGGAGGGCTCCTCGGCCCAGCAGCGCCGCATGAGCGTGCCCAGCTCCTCCACGTGGCGGCTCGTGTCTGTGCTCGGCCGGAAGTGGGGCCGCTGCCCGTTCTTCACCTTCTGAACGATCTCTGTGGTGGGCGCGCGCAACAGAGTGCACGAAGGGAGGCAGGGGAGTAGGCAGGAAGGTGTCTGGGGTCAGGGCTCATGGCACACGGAAGAAGTATATTCCATTTAACACGTCGGATTTCGCGACCAATATCATCCATAATCGAGGTTTTGGGTTAGATCGCGTAAATATATAAATGTGTTGTTAAAACCCACCACCACCCAACACAGCCAACTAGTAAGAAATCAAAATAACTTTAACCGTTCGGATAGTTACCGCCTTAGTGCTGTGTGGAAGCAAATCATCAAATAATACGTTATTTAAATGCATTCCTACAAAGGGAAGCGTACTTCAATAGTGATATCCGTTGGTAGGGCTATTTTAATAAACACAATAGACAGGAAGGACAAGTTCAAAGGGCTCACATAATGCACATGCATAATGTACGTTGCCTCAATAATTCCCCCCCAACCACATGGTGCAATATACGTTTGATGATCGTGGTTGTTTCTTGTTGTTGAATTATGCATAACCTTGACATTTGAGCATAATCGAATGTTTAGGGGTCGCTATTGGAGAGAAGAACCTTCCAACTAGTATACCTTTCAACTAATATACCTATTGCAAAAAATATTCACTTAAAGGCATCTCAGACATGCTTCTGTGATATCTGCTTTCTCTGCTGGCTGCTCTAAATCAATTATAAATGGCCACTTCAACACACATTAAATAAGATCGCGATAAATCTATTAAAGACATCCTCATATCTAGATGCTTGGTCGGGGATGTGCAAACTGTTTCCGCATACCCAGCACACCACATCCACCATACCTCTTGCTGTGACTGTAGCGACGACAAGTCACGTCCCATCTACGCCGGCCTACCGGCAGTGACCCTGAAGAGACTGAGTGGGGAAACGATCGAGTGCCCGGCGCAAGGTGCAAGCGGTGCCTTTGGGACTTAGGTCCATGTTTTCGATGTAGAAGGGGCCGCAGCGGAACGCGACCTCCTGCAGGATGATCCCGAAGCTGTAGACGTCACCCTTCTGGGAGCCCTGGGGAGGGACCACTTCCATCCTTAGCAGCTCAGGGGCAGTCCACAGGACCTCTGTAGCAACAACAAACGACAGCGGTCACGGATTCACTCGGGTCAGTCGCACACTGTCCGTCATCAGTTGCCCGCTTATCGTGGCGATTTTTTTTACTCAAGAGGAGCCCAGTACAAAGCATGAACTTTAACCATGCGCAGAGGGGGCACAAAAACTCCGTGGACAAAACTCCCAGGGCTCGTTGCTCCTGGGTTTAAGGAAGGGGCGATAAATTGGGGGAAGGAAGGATCGGGGGGTAGGATAACAAAAGTATAGAGTACTTACTCTTAGGGTCTTTCGGTAACGTCTCGTAGATATAAAAACAATTTAAATCATGACGTTTCGATTGCAACACAAGCAATCGTCTCCAGGTGAAAAAATACAGCAGGCGGACTGCTGAGGCAGGAAGAAATATAGCAGCGTACTCCATTTGTGCAGGTAACTATAGAGTACTTACCTGCACAAACGGAGAGGCAGTCAGACACATGCGTGAGCATTATCTGGACCGTGGAGCCGACGAACGACATGGCTCCCTATTGGCTGAAAGAGCGCACCTACGAATAAACTCACTTGCCGTTGGTGGAGGAAGATGAATGACGTCAGACGTACCTTCCGACTCGGAAGGTGAGAGGTCGGAAGGTGCACGCAGAAACTGGGAGATGAAAAGAGGTATGACGAGGGACTGGAGGACAGAATTGATTGGATGGACAGAAACGGGAGAGAGCAGGAAAGAGAGAGGAGAAGAGAATGGGGGAAGGCTCGGGGCTTTTGATGGTGGAAGTTGACATGAACGCAAGTTGCAGAAGATAATCAAATCTTCTCGCACCTTTTCTACAACCAACGTGTTGGAGTTATTACAGTGGTGGCAGTGGTGGGATCGACGACAAGATGTCTCACGCTGGTCGCAAAAGGAACCCCACTGAGACTCCAGGAGAAGACGAGGATGGGGCAGCGACCACCCCAAGCGCCCCGGGCCGAAATGGCCCAGAAGACCGACCATTAAGAAGCCTGTTAGTGGCCACATTCCATGAAGGGGCAGAGCTGGGGCAGCAAGCTGAAGAGAGAGATGCTGGATACAGAAGGGCCACAGACGACCAGGGGATGGAGACGGATGGAAGAGCGAATGGATCGTCTCACAGATGCCGTATTCCTGCTACTACAACAAATGTCGGAGGGAACCGGTCAAGCAAGGGGACTACCTTGCTTGGCCGGTCAGACAGGAGATACCACAGCAAGAACCACCTCCAGGATCGTCAAAAAAAACCACATCATCAGACAGTGCTTGCAACAGGGATGGTGTCCACCATCACAGGCCCAGCCACAGAGGCTACCGCGCTACCCAGGGAGAATCCTCGATTGGAGAGAGAACTGGAAAATTGCTCTCTCTTCCTCGGGGAGAGTGAGTGACAACAGGTGAATATACCTGTGGAAGAAGAGAGAAAGTCACCTCGACAGTCACAGAGGACGGGCAGACAAGAACGAAGAGAGGCAAGCAGGAGACAGCCATCTCCAAGTGACGAACGTGGAGACCATGGAAGGAGGGCCTGGAACCACAAGCTGGGTCCCATGAAGGAGTTGATGGTGGTGAGAGGCGACTGGGGCGCTTTTGTATGGCGATTTTAAGTGTCCTACAAGAACCTGGAGTGGTCAGAGGAAGAGGCGCTGAAAGCCCTACCCACAGTCCTCGATGACGACGCCTTGACCATCTTCTCAACAATTCCAGAGGCAAGAAGGACCGAGGTCGCGGGGGTGGATACCCAACCTGGGGTGCTCTCTGTGCAGGCTCTGGTCAGAAAGTCTGTCACTATTCTGCCGGCAGCACAGATGCTGGTCCCTCTTCGACATCGAAATCCCTTTGTTACAACATGGCCAGATTCCCCTATTCTGGTTACTCCGGTGGAATCCCTGCCTCACTTGATGCAGCAAATCTGGCTGTGACGGTCCCACCTGATGACGGAGACTTGTATTGCCTCCGAAACGTCGTGATTTTATTGTTTTATTTTTATTAATTTTAATTTCATTTTTTACCTACGTTACTTTACCGAAAGAACTAAGAGTATGAATCCTTGCAGTCATGAACGTTTCAAATCTAGAGATTCTGGATACCAAATATTTTTCAATAAGTGTTGACTCCACCCCAGACCTGTCACATGTGGACCAATTGACGTTCATATTCTGGTTTGTTAACATCAGCGGGAATGTGGTGGAGCGATTCATGGGCTTTGAGCCAATTGAGAGCCACACTGGTAAAAGTTTAGCAGACTGTGTGACTTTGATGGTGGAGGGCCTTGGGTTGGACCTCTCAAACTATGGAGGTCAGTCATATGACAATGCAAGCAACATGTCAGCAGAATACAATGGGCTACAGGCCCACCTGAAACAAAAAAAACCTCTGATAGAGTATGTGCCTTGTGCAGCACATTCACTTAACATAGTTGGTGTTAACACCTTAGACAGCAGTAGCCCAGAGGCTGACGAGTTTTTTAACATGTTGCAGTCACTACACATTTTGCTCTTCATCCACACACAGATGGGGGGAAAGTCTTTCGGAAGACAGATGTCAGACTGGCGTTATGTGACAGGTGTCTCTCACTCATATAAGCACGATCTTCAGCGAAAGAGGAAACGCTAAACATTTGCAGATTAGAGCTCAGAGCCAGGTGTGACACTTGAGAGGAGGGAGAAGTAAAAAAAAAACATTTTATGTGGTCATTAATAAGCTAGTGGCATGCCTTGAACATCGCTTGGACGCTTACAAGCGCTTGACCAGTCTCTTTGGAGTTCTGTTTATGTCAGAACAGGTGTCTAACAGTGGTGTCATAGTGGAAAAGGTCAATGCACTCTCCGCTGCATATCCATCAGACCTGGACATGAACTTTTCTAACGAACTCATCCAATTAAAGTATTTCATGTCTGACTCTGAGGGTGAGAATTGCCCAACTAAATTGCTTCAGACGTTGCAGGCACTTAATCTGCAGTCAGTGTTCCCCAACGTTTTCGTGTCACTTCGGATTTTTCTTACTTTGTCAGTGACAAACTGCCAGGGTGAGCGGACATTTTCCCTTTTAGATGTTATCAACCATGCAAAAAAGATTTAACTACACATATTTGGAGCATTTTTGGCAGCGATTTCAACCGCACCACCTCTACATAATAATAGGCTCAGTCAACCATTCTACACAACAAAGACTAATTTCCTGGCAGCGATTTCAGCCGCATCATCTCTACATAACAAAAAGGCTCAGTCCCTTTTACATGCACCTTTACATCATCCGCACCTAGTTTACACAACAAAGGCTCATTCCCAACAGCGTGCTTCAGCCGCACCGAACTTCACAAAAATAATATTCAGGTCCTACCTTGGCTCCTCCCACCCTCAACCAGTATATATAAAGATGCGGTTTTCTTGGAATTTCTCTCACTTGATACAGCTATCGTGCTGTGACTGTTCCACCTGAAGACGGAAGCTTGTGTTGCCTCCGAAACGTCGTGATTTTTATTTTTATTTTTTATTTTACTTTTATTAATTTTAATTTTTTACCTACGTGACTTTACCGAAAAAACCTAAGAATATGAATCCTTGCAGTCACGAAAGCTTCAAATCTAGAAAGAATAAAAATGAGCTGCAGAGTAGCATGTGCCATACACGTCTCAGCTCATTGTCACTTATGTCAATAGAGTCAGACCTTGTCAGACAGCTAGATTTTGATGATCTAGTGGATGATTTTGCGAGGAGGAAGGCAAGAAAGACACGAATATAGGAAAGCGGTCGGGGGGGGCTCCAAAAGACATGTGCCCAGAGACCTCACGGGACCATGATCTGGCCCTGTTCCGAGGTCAGGAGGTTTGTTGGCTTTGTGTTATATTACTGCCGCTTCCTGCTGCAATTTACGAGCATTGCCAAGCCCCTGCATGCACTGACTGGCAAAAACCAGAGGTTTCACTGGGGGGAGGCCAAAGAAAAGGCCTTCACTACCTTGCGTGATCAGTTGACCAAGGCTCTGACTCTAGCATACCCTGATTTTTCTCTGCCGTTCATTCTTGACACTGATGCGAGTGATGTAGGCATCAGGGGAGTTTTGTCACAATTGCAGAATGGAGTAGAGGTGGTCATAGCCTACAGCAGTCGCGTGCTGTCTCCGGCCGAGCAACGCTATTGCATAACCCACAAGGAGCTACTGGCGGTTGTCCACTTTGTACAGCAATTTAGGCCATATCTCTGTGGACGACTGTTCACGGTGTGCATAGACCATGCAGCACTTCAACATTCGTTATGCATAGCCCATCCATCGGGTCAGATCGCTTGTTGGATGGAACGACTCCAGAAGTTCAAATACAAAAGTGTGCACCGGAAAGGCTTGTGACACAATAATGCTGACGCACTATCACGACTGCCACCATTGGAATCCTGCTCATGTGATTCAGGGGCGGCTCATTGCAGACAGCAGCGCCCTAGGACATCATCTGTGGTTGCGCTGGTGCAGTCTATAGGGGACGGTCATGCTATGGCTCCAACAGACTGTCACCTGGCATGGAATAGATCACGCTACAATTGGCTGAGAGCTCCTTTCGAGCGCTACAAGAACGGGTAGAGACACACACACCACAAGGGGAGGTGTTACTGGAGCTGCACTTCATTGTGTGCCACGGATTCTCGATGTCTCAGAGGCGTTGTCTTGTACTACCAGAAGCTCTGCATCAACAACTATTCCACGAAATCCACATTAACCGCTTGGTACATCTGGGTCACCGAAAGATACTCTTAACCTTTAAACAGAACTACTATTGGTGGGGAATGTTGGTGGATGTGCAGAAATGGGTAGCGGAATGCTTGAAGTGCATGAGCCGGAAACTACCCGCTCAACCCATACAACCCATAAAACCCATACAACCCGTACAACCCATACAACCCATAGAACCCATACAACGTCCCTTTCAGTCCATTAGAAAAGGGGATAAAGGGGCGGAGAAGGGCCCTTATCGTGCTTCTATTGTGACCACCACAGACCCAGTTGTGTGA